TTTATACAACATGGCGGTCGACTCAGAAATTATTCCGTTCCGCTTAACTCGGTCTGGCAATGTTGTTCGAGAAACGAAAATTTGTGCGATAACCGAAGCATATTCATCTTGAATTTTCTGTTCGAAAACAGATTTGTTCGCCATGTGAGACGTTTGAGAACCGAGGTATCGCTGCATTGTAATAAGTAGACTTGTCCTTGTTTTCACAGCGAATTGTTAAATCTGCGATCCCACATAATAAGGAAGCTCTTAATTTGCAGTCAGGTTTCGCGTAAGGGCACACGAGTTGAACAGCGAAAATATAAATCATTCGTAGTAAGCAAATATGGAAAGTAAATATATTCCATTAAGATAAATAATCGAGAGAAGAAAAAGAAAAAAAAAACGAAGCTAAATAATTTCCAAATGACAGTATTGTTGGCTATAAACAGATTTGCAATTGAATTTACCTAATCTTGGGATAACAATAAAATTATATATTGCGAATATCAAACAATTCGAACACCTGAGAGACAAAAACAAACTCTCATGTTGAAATTGCAAAAACAATTTTTGGTCTTTGTTCGTAAATCGTGCAAACTTTACATTAGAAAAAAAAGCGATCATTAAGCAAAAAGAAATAAAACGCACTTTTTTATCTGATTATATTTCTGAGATGAGGTGTTATGTACACTATTTATATTATTCGGACTATTGTCCTTATCTTCGTCACCATATTTATTACAACGTTTCGGCCCTTCAGTATCTGTCTATATTTCTGAGATGAGGTATTATGTACACTATTTACATTATTCGGTCTATTGTCCTCATCTTCGTCGCCATATTTATTACAACGTTTCAGCCCTTCAGTATCTGTCTATATTTCTGAGATGAGGTATTATATACACTATTTACATTATTCGGTCTATTGTCCTCATCTTCGTCGCCATATTTATTACAACGTTTCGGCCCTTCAGTATATGTCTATATTTCTGAGATGAGGTACACTATTCACATTATTCGGACTATTGTCCTTATCTTTGTCGCCAGGTTTATCACAACGTTTCGGCCGTTGTATGCTCCAGCCTTCTTCAGGTTAGAATGTTGAACTGATAACTGATACTGTTCTAGTTCCACTTGCGATGTCTAATGGATGTCAGTTATCTCCTGTTAATTCCCCTCTGAAAGTTCTCCACTGCCTTAACTAGGTTTTGAACTCACACTCTTTGGGTCCTGTCAATGGATCTAAATAACGCCTTTATCCACTGTGCCATGTGTCCTTGAGGACATCTGTGTATGAATTTCTGTGTATTATAAATCGAATGTCTTCAACAACCATTATTTATCGGTGCTCAAAATTGCAACTCGATGGTCAAACTTTTTGATGACGTCTCTGCTAAGTTGCTTCTCGATCTCACCAACATGCTATATTCTCTTGAACTGTTGTTGGCTTGGCATAGACCTTATTTTTGAGATGACCCCAAAGGAAGAAATCTAAAGGCGTAAAGTCGCACCATAGTGGTGGCCAACTGACTTCGCTGTTTCGAGAGATGATGTGACCTGGGAACTTCTCATTGCATTTCTGTTTGAATGTCCATTTTTGTGATAGACTTCAATAACTTTAACACGTTGTTACATTGTTAATCTTTCCATGGTTGACATCACTAAAGACTTAAGTTGTTAAATCTGAAAAAAGAAAAAAAATTCATTAGACACTTAAACTTAATTCACATTTAAAATCGGGCCAAGTTATTGGAACACCCTTTATTTTTATTATAAAAATGTATTTTAATACGTTCATACTTTTTTGGTCTCATTTTGGGAGTTAACTATTTGCCCACATTTGTGACCCTAACATGTGTTGCCACCCCGGGTCTCTGTGGACCTAGGAATAACATCAATTAAGAGATTGTTCCACACTCCTCAAAACCTCCCAATCAAAGGCCTTGCTGCCGGATGTAGTTTATTCTCATACCCAGGATAGAGCAAAATATATATTACACAATAACACTAATAAAGACATTTCATGGAAAATCACTTGTTCAGAAAGTAGCAAACGAACAAACGCCTAATTTAAGTCATTAGAGTTTAATAGAGATACGAGGGTGCACTGAAAAGTTCATAGTTTGACTATGAAGGGGTGATGCTAGGGCTTTGAAATATTACATGCATTAATTTCGGTTTTTCTCATTAATAAGTACATTGTTTGTTACCCGCTAAACTGATCTCTAACTATTCAAAGAAGACTTCAAATATAACTAAAGGGTGTTTCATTAAGAAGGATTACATTAAGACGGACCAAAGTCAGCAGTAAATAAATCAGTGTTATTGGTGAAAATTTATTTATTTCTCTATTGGATCATGCCATTTAAGTCATGGCAATTATGTTTGAAAAATAATATTGCTCAAATGTCCACCAAATTAAAAAGAAACCGAAAAAAAATCTTTAGACTCTTAAACTTAATTCACATTTAATATCGGTCCAAGTTCTTGGAACACCCTTTAATTTTACTTTAAAATTGTATTTTAATACTTTCATACTCTTTTGGCCTCATTTTGGAAGTTTACTATTTGCCCATATTTGGGACCCTAACATGTGTTACCACACCGGGTCTCTGTGGACCTAGGAATAACAGCCATTAAGAGATCGTTCCACACTGCTCAAAAACCTCCCGATCAGAAGCCTTGCTGCCGGATGTAGTTTATCATCTTACCCATGGCGAGCGATAGAGTAGGGATATATATTTCTCCCTGTTTCACCCTGAGATATGTGGAGGGAGCGGGTCATATTGACGCTGTGGTGATGATGTCCCTAAAAAAACTGTAGTAATTGTAATAGTTTCTTGAATATGTCGTGAGCATTCTATGGTAAAGCTGTCGTATATTTTGTATCGAGACTATTAATTATAAAGCAATCCGTTTTATAGGTCTACGCCAACACCGAAGCTGTTTTAATGTTTTCATTTTATGCGTGTTTTTTTTTTTTTTTTAAATCTTACTTTCCCGTTTACTTTGCTTCGATATTTGTTTAGTTTAGCCGCAAAGTTTAAATTTCACGACTCGAACGCAGGCAGATTTTTTTTTATGGCCTTTCTTGAGAAAATACCAACACGTAGGAGAGAATTTAAAACAGCCTCTAGATGACAAGTTTTATTATGTTTGGATATTGGTACCTACGCTTAAAATTGTTTTGTTGGGAGGAGGGGAATTTTCTCCAATCTCTCTTCTCGTTCGTCTTACGCAATTTTTTGCTGCCTCTATCACACACACACACACACACACACACACACACACACACACACACAAAGTCTCTTTCTGTCTCTGTCTTTCGTAAATTGTTGCTTTCTTTCTTTTTCTAGTTTTATCACGTCTATTTTTCGTATTGACTCTCTCTTCGTCACTTGGTCTCGCTGTCGATGCTTTTTGCCGATTTTTGTATTCATTTCTTTAAATTTTCGCTCAGTTTCTCCGTCTTCACCAATTTCTTTGTATCTTTCTTTCTTCAATCTGCCTATGCCCTTTTTTTTCTTTCTTTCTTTCTTTCTTTCTTTCTTTCTGTTATCAATTTGTTACTTTCTTCTTTCTTTCTTTCTTCTATCTGCTTATTCCTTTCTTTCATCAGTATGTTTCAGTTTGTTACTCTCTTATTTCTTTCTTTCTTTCTTTTTCAGTCTGTTGCCGTTTGTTACTTACATCTTTCTTTCTTTAATCTGCCTATTCCCTTTCTTTCTTTCTTTCTTTCTTTTTTCTTTCTTTCTTCAGTCTGTTGCCGTTTGTTACTTTCTTCTTTCTTTCTTCAATCTACCTATTCCCTTTCTTTCTTTCTTTCTTTCTTTTTTATTCTGTTTTTCGATTTCTTAATTTTACTAATTCACTTTCTTTTTTAATAAACCTATTTCACTTTCATTGTTTCATTCATTCGTTCATTCTTTTTCTATTTCTTTCTTTCTTTGTTTGGATTTCTTTCTGTTTTCTGTCGATAATCTGTCTGTATCGATTTCTTATTTCCTTTTTTATTAATCTATTTATTTCACTTTCATTCTTTTTTTTTCTTTTTTTAAATTTGATTTCTTACGTTTTACTGATTTAGTTTTTTTCTCTTTTTCTTTTTCCTTTCAATGCCTGTTTCGTTTTATTTCATTCTTTCTTTCTTTTTCTTTCTTTCTTTAATCTGTTTGTGTCACTTTCTTATTTTTTTTCTTTCTTTGTTTTTCTTTAACTGGTTTCTCTTTCTTTCATTCTCTCTATATTCTCTCTATCTGTTTTGCCTTTTTTTCCTTTCTATAATCTGTATGTATCGCTTTTTTTCTTTTCCTGTCTGTAGTCTGTCTGTTTCGCTTTTTTTTATTTTCCTTTCTAAAGTCTGTCTGTTTCACCTTTTTTCTTCTCCTATCCATAGTCTGTCTGTTTCGCTTTTTTCTTTGCCTTTCTATAGTCTGTCTGTTTCGCCTTTTTTCTTCTGTTTGTTTCCCCATTTCTTTCTTTCTATAGTCTGTCTGTTTCGCCTATTTTCTTTTCCTGTCTATAGTCTGCCTGTTCCGCCATTTTTTCTTTTCCTTTTACAGTCTGTCGGTCTCGCCTCTTTTCTTTTCCTTTCTATAGTCTGTTTGTTTCGCCTTTTTTCTTCTCCTGTCTGTAGTCTGTTTCGCCTTTTTTTTCTTTGCCTTTCCTTAATCTGTCTTTTTCAACTTTTTTCATTTTCTTTCCTCAATCTGTCCGTTTTGTCTTTGTCCTTTCAACCTGTCTGTTTCGCCATGTTTTTAAATTTTTTCTTTCTTTCTTTTTCCTTTAAACGGTTTCACTTTCTTTCTCTCTTTCTTTCTTTCTTTCTATGCCATATCTAAATCATCTCTGTCATCTATTTATTAATTCTCCTTTTCTCTTCTTTCCCAAACATGACCCACGGAAAAAAATATCACTGTTTTGAATTACCTTTCTTTTTTTAATGACCCTTCTTTTTCACATTTTATTTTTGCAGATGACAAGACCATCAAAGTCGTGAATTTATGAAACACACATACACACACACACACACACACACACGCACAGACACGTGCCCCCAATATAAAGATTGAAAACGAGATAGATAAAGAAAAGAGTGAGAGAGAGAGTGTGAGAGAGAAGACTTTTAGAAGTATTCTTGTATGGGTATTTATAAAAAAAAACGTATTATTCAAACAGTTTTAATGTCTCTTAGGTTTAATGTTTAAAGCAATATCATCTGGGAAACTTAAGTCTTGCGTTTATATCTGCGCAGCTTAAGTCTTACATTTTTATTCACTGATGCTCTCCAATTATATGCTTAGACATCTGTTAATCTATATTCCTTGGATTGGTTGCAATATATTCGATTTCAAAAGGCTAATCAAAGAACAATAAACGACGCTCGAATAGTAGCGAATGTAGAGTTCGCTCAAGTACCTGAGTCGTTTAAATCTTTTTAGGTATGAAAGGTACCCACCGAAACAAGCCTTTGAGTGACGATCCACAAATCAAGGACATCTCGTCATCATGTTTTTTTGGTTTTTTGTAATTTTCTCTTGATACTTACCAATATCAAGCAACATACCGCAAAATGAGTTTCCTCATTTTTTAAGTTAATCCCCATAACACATAAAACTGAGACGAAATGATATATAAACTGTATTTTTATCCCAAGTCCTTTGAGGACGTAGGCGATCATTGCTTTCCACAGGTGCGTTTTGTCGAATATCTGTGATTTTTTTTTTGTATTTGTTGGTTTGTTTCTTTCTTTCATCAGTTTATTCTTCTTTTTCTCTTTCTTTCTTTTCATCAGTTTGTTTCAATTTCTTTCTTTCTGTCTTCAATGTGCTTATTCCTCTTTCTTTCTTTCTTTCTTTCTTTCTGTCATCAGTTTGTTACTTTATTCTTTCTTTCTTCTATCAGTTTATTCTTTTCTTTCTTACTTTCTTTCATCAGTCTTTTTCAGTTTGTTACTCTCTTCTTTCTTTCTTTCTTTCTTTCTTTCTTTGTTTTTCTTTCTTTCTTTCTTCCTTTCTTCCTTTCTTTCTTTCTTTCTTTCTTCAGTCTGTTGCCGTTTGTTACTTCCAGTCTGTTTCAGCTTGTTCCTTCTTTCTTTCTTTCTTTCTTTCTTTCTTTCTTTCTTTCTTTCTTTCTTTCTTTCTTTCTTTCTTTAGTCTGTTTCAGTTTGTTACTTTATTCTGTCTTTCCTTCTTCAATCTGCCTTTTCTCATTCTTTCTTTTCTTTCTTTCTTTCTTTCTTTCTTTCTTTAATCCGTCTATTTCGCATTCTTTCCTTCTTTTACTTTAGTTTATTTTTTTAATATATCTATTTCGTTTTCCTTTCTTCCTTCCTTCATACATTCATTGATTCTTTCATTCATTCATTCCTTTATCCTTTCTTTCATTATCTTCCTTGAAACTGTTTTTCTTTCTTTCTTTTTCCGTTTAACGTTTATTAGTTTCGTTTTCTTTCTTTCTTTCTTTCTTTCTTTCTTTCTTTCTTTCTTACTTTCTTTCTTTCTTTAATCTGTTTTGTTTTCTTTCTGTCGTATTCTTTAGTTTCTTCCTTTTTTACAAATCGCCTTCTTTCATTTCTTTTCTTTCTTTCTTTCTTTCTTTCTTTCGTTCGTTAATCTGTTTTTTCGCTTTCTTTCTTCTTGCTTTCCACTGCTTCCTTTTATCTAATATCTGTGATTTTTTTATTACATCTTGGGAAGATAGCGAAATGGATTCTGCCTGTATTCTCCAAGGTTTTGAATTCAGAGAAGTGCTTCTGTTGACTGATACCAAAGCCAAAATGTAGTCTAATATTTTACTCATTATTAGGAAGGGAAGAGATGATTCATGCCTTTCCCATGGGCAATAGTGCTAAATGGATCATAATCGAATCCACGTGTATATATTATTAGATATAGTATATCTTGGTAGCAGTCCTCCATTTATACATGTTCCATTGAATGTGACGGAAAAGGAAAATTTTGTAAGATTTTTATTCGTTTTTGTTTCTAGTGTTTTTACAGTTTTTCTTTTATGAGTACTATTTAAAATGCTTACGAAATTTACTGATAGCGATTTTTAAAACATGAGGTAAGAATAACATAAAAGGAGTGACAATGAAGTTTTATCGTAAACTGGTAATATCGAAATGCAAAAACAAATGATTTTTGCTTCTATTGAAAAAAAAAATACATTTATTTCTGGGTCCCAGCCAGAGAGACCTAAGGTCTGAGATGGTGTCATGACATTTTCCACTGATCATTTTTTGTAAAATAAAATAAAAAAAACACCTAAGATCCCAAAGATTTTACATAGATAATGTTCTTGGTAATGTGTGAAGTTTACACGTGAGTACAATTTTTTGGATTTTTTTTTTAACCAGGAATCCCGTCAGTAAATCTATTGGACCATTTCCCAAACAATCCGAGGGCTCCAGCTACAACGGGAATTATTGATGTCCTCATGTATCAATTTTTTTAGATTTCTATTGAAAGATCCGTGTATTTTCAAAGATAAATTACACTCTTCAGGGTCTGCCATGTTAATAAGAAATCACATTCTGTTCTTGTGGTCTTTGATCACCATGTCTGCGCGATTAGCTTTTATTATTCTGTCAGTGTGTATTTTATTATTATTATTATTTATCAGGGTTCTGTTGTTGAGTAGATTTCTTGAGTACCAGGAAAGTTACTGCCTGTCAAATCACAAGATGGGCTTTAGGCAGACGCTGCATTTCGAAGTATGTTTGTCGTACTCAATAAGGCAAACTGTATTTTACAGGAAGTTGGTCAAAATATTCTTTAAAGTTCAATGCGATGCAACAGAGTACTCCAATCATTACTGGAAGGACTTCAACATTTTTATCCGGCAGATTGATTGGAAAAATTTCCGATAGACTCATTGAATGGATTCGTCGTAACCTATACCTTAAGAACCACAAAAATTGTACTTAGAAGTACAATTCACACATTACGAAGAGCCTTATATATGCAAAATGTGTATCATCTTAGCTTTTTTTTTTCCTTATACAAAAATGATCTGTGGAAGATGGGGTGAAGCCAATTAAATAATAATAATAATATATACATATATAAAATGTCTGTATGTGCGTGTATGTGTATGTGTGTGTGTGTGAATGTCAGGCTAAAATAAATTTATTCGTTTTTACTTTTTTAATTCTGAGAATTTCGAAAGGATTTCAATTTTAAAATATCTTTGTAAATACAAATCATACGATTAAAATTAAAATTAAAAAAAACAAATGAATAAAGACATGATTGAAGATACAGATAAATTAGAAGATTTTCTTACTAAGTTGCGGCGGAAAAGAATATTTACCGAAGTTATTTAAAAAATTGGTAAAGATCTTTGTCTATAAATGAATTTACAATAGTTATTCCTCTCTCTCTCTCTCTCTCTCTCTCTCTCTCTATATATATATATATATATATATATATATATATATATATATATTGTGTGTGTAAAAAGTCAGGCTAAAACTAAAAACTACAATAATTTGTGACAAAATAAATTTATTCGTTTTTACTTTTTAATTCTGAGAATTTCGAAAGCATTTTAATTTTAAGATATCTTTGTAAATACAAATCATACGATTAATTTTTTTTGCAATAAGCCCGCTTGGGTGATAGCTATTCTGGATATACATTTAACTTGTCGTAACTATTGTAGTTTGTTAGTTTTGCCGGACACACACACAGAGACAACTGCCCTTTATATATGTATCGATAGATTATTTTAAAAATAAACTATTATTATATATTATCTTCCGAGCAACGCAGGGTATCCCCGCTAGTAATAATAATCAAGTTGAGCAACAAATCAACACTCAGTGGGTAGTACCTTACGATACATATTTGTGGCGAACATTTAACTGAAATATCAATGTAGAAATCTGCTCGTCATTTCATTCAATCAAGTATTGCATTAAATGCATATCAAAGTGTTCATATCAAGCTGTTTTTGCACACGCACATCAACTGAATTTTTTTCTTCTTTTTGAGTTCCAAAATATAGAAGGAGAAATCCAGAAAATGAAGGTCACATCGGCAAGATCATTAAGTGGTAATGAAATGCATCGTTTTTCTCCACAAATTATAACAATGATGTAAAATTAATCATCATTTGCATACAAAAAAAAATGTGCGACCCGCGGTAAAGTGTGGGTAATTCGACTAGTATATATATAAGCATATACTACAAATTGCACCCAGAATCATGATCAGTCCATATTCAGTTTCTTGGGGTTTCTGGTTCAAATTTTGAAGCAGTTTGTAAAACAAAAAAGGAGCTTCAAACAAAAACAGCAAAACAAAACAAAAACAACTACTACAACAACAACAATAATAATAATAATAATAATAATAATAATAATAATAATAATAATAATAATAATGTTCGCTTCATAATCAGAGCGTTTGAAATAGTCTCAAGGAATCTAGCAAATTAAGTGAGAGACATGTTAATCTGAAGTACAAAAGCTATACCAATTGCAATGAGAAGAGCAGATTGAATATAGCAGAGACCTGATGTCACTTGATCCCCAATGAAAACCACTGGTCTCTGCTGGGAAGTAATTTAAACAAGTTTAAATTGCAATAAATGTTATTAGTTGAACTAATTTGTGTGAAAAGCAAATCAACTGGAGATAAGTAATACATCTAACGATTAGGATGGGTTACAGGTGGAGCCAATGGTTGCTTTAATTGTGATTAAACGAACAGTCAAAAGCAAATGAAAAAAGGCGTGGTTGAAGATACAGATAAGTTAGAAGAATTTCTTGCGAAGATGTGTCAGAAAAGAACAGTTATTTAAAAAATTGACCAAGATATTGTCTAAAAATTAATTTGCAATGTTTGCAGTTGCTGAGTATCTCTTCCTCTCTCTCTTTCTCTTTCTCTGTGTGTGTGTATATTTCATTTAGTTATTTAGACAAGTTTTATCTACTTATTTTCAATTAGATCCTTTCATATTCATTACAACAACAACAACAACAGCAATAATAATAATAATAATAATAATAATGTTCAATTCCTTGTCAGATCGTTTGAAACAGTCTCGAGAAATCTAACACATTAAGTGGGAAAAGACCTGCTGTCACTTGATCCCCAATGAAAACCAATTGACTCTGCTGGTGAGTAATTTAAACGAGTTTAAATTACAATAAATATTATTAGTTGAAATGTAATTCAATTTTCGATAGTTCTAGTTGGAGCGTTAATTCTTTCAACTAGAGCCAAAAATAAATTGGGCAGTTAAACACACATAGTCGGTGCCAAGTCAAAGATTCTGTTGAATCGTTTGGCAATGACAAAAAAGTAAATAAAAAGAAAATATGCAATAAATATATAAAAAAATGATAGCAGGAACTGACGCTAAAGGTCTTGAGGTAAAAAAAAAAAACACTCAACTGGAACGCCTAAAACAGAGTGAGAAAGAGTGAGAGACTTAACAGCAAAGAATGTCTATCAATCACTTCGTCACTCACCCAAGGGGTACTTATCTGCAAATGTGCCAAAAGAAGTGTCGCCCAAGGAATTTATGTCAGGGTGTGCTGGAAGAAGACCTTAAAATGTGCATGGCGGATTGCCCACCCACCCACGTTGTCGTGGGGATAGACGTAATCTGTGTCAGCCTTTTGTGAAGATGTGGTTTACGACCGCATGGGATAATGCTGGATTTGGGGATAAATTGTATGACGAATGGTTTTTCAACACCGTTTCTCCATCGCCTAGTCTTGTCTCTGTCTCTCTTTATATCTATCTAAATCTTTTCATAGCATTGTGTTAACATCTATCTATCTATCTATCTATCTATCTATCTATCTATCTATCTATCTATCTACTCTCAGTCTGTTCACATCGATCTATCTATCTACTCTCAGTCTGTTCATATCTATCTATCTATCTATCTATCTATCTATCTATCTCTATCTATCTATCTATCTACTTTCAGACTGTTCATATCTATCTATCTATCTATCTATCTATCTATCTATCTATCTATCTATCTATCTATCAGTCTGTTCACATAGATCTATCTATCTACTGTCAGTCTGTTCATGTCTGTCTATCTATCTATCTATCTATCTATCTATCTATCTATCTATCTATCTACTTTCAGACTGTTCATATCTATCTATCTATCTATCTATCTATCTATCTATCTATCTACTGTCAGTCTGTTCACATAGATCTATCTATCTACTGTCAGTCTGTTCATGTCTATCTATCTATCTATCTATCTATCTATCTATCTATCTATCTATATATATATATATATATATATATATATATATATATATATATATATATATATATAATTGGATAGAATATACCAACACATATAAGCTCCACGGTAATTTTAGGTAACAAGACAGGTGAAGTTTATTAATTACACGTTTCTTATAATCGAAATAAAATATCTGCCATGACGTATCTGTTGTATCATAGTGTATAAGTTTCACCTTCATTGTAGATAGCTATCTAGCCCGCTAGCTAGATTGACAGATTGCTGTAACCTAGAAAGTGTTACTGAATGAGGAATAACCATAACGGAAGTTTGAAATGAAATGGTTATTTTTATAACATCAACAAAATAAAATACTCGCCGGCGGCGTGAAGTAGATAAACCACTGCTGGACTAATTAGACACCATATTACGATCTCTTACAATAGAGTCCAATGTATTTATGAGAACTGGGACATACAGATTATTGATACGGTATATAACATAGATGTGTGTTTATAATGGACCAACGATCGGGAGTAGACACTGCCTGAAATAATTAAGGCCTTACCGATAAAACGAAAAAAAAACATAGCTGTGTGTGGGCAACATCACTTAATTTGTGTGAAAAGCAAAGCAATTGGAGATTAGTAATACATCTAACGATTAGGATGGCTTACAGGTGGTGGCTATTTTTACTTTACTTGTGATCAAACGAATAGCTGGAAAAGAAATGAATAAAAACGTGATTGAAGATACAGATAAATTAGAAGAATTTCTTACTAAAGTGCGTCGGAAAAGAATATTTACCGAAGTTATTTTAAAAAATGGTAAAGATCTTTGTCTATAAATGAATTTACAATCGTTACTATTGCTGATTATCTCTTCTTTTACTACTCGCTTTCTCTCTCTCTCTCTCTCTCTCTATATATATATATATATATATATATATATATATATATATATGTGTGTGTGTGTGTGTGTGTGTTGCGTGCGTGTGTGCTTCATTGAATAATTTAGACATATTTTGTCTACTTATTTTCAATTGGATCCCTTCATATTCACGAGCAAGTTTTTGGGTGATATTATTCATGATAATATTTATATAAGAGAGAAAGTTACCGAGAAAAATTGTCGAGAAAAATGTCTAGAACGACACAGTGAACTAACTTTACAAACAGCAGACTAGAAATTAATTCAATATAATCCTTCCACTTCATCCCACTTGCAAACGTTAGTCCGAAAATTCGCAATGAGTCACTTTCCTTGAGGATAGAATCAGCCATGCTGATGCAAAGGTTATTGTCTTGCTTGTGCTAAAATGTTTTTCAAAAAACAAAACGAAAGAACTTTATAATATTTATTCCGATATTCTACCTATAAATGTTCGAGGAAAATAAAATCAAGAAAAAGTTATCGTATACAAAATCAAGAAAATACTTATCGAAAATAAAATCAAGAAAAGACTTGTATATAAAATCAAGAAAAGACTAATCGTAAATAAAATAAAGAAAAGACTTATCGTATATAAAATCAAGAAAAGACATCGTAAATAAAATCCAGAAAAAACTTATCGAAAATGAAATCAAGAAAAGACTAATCGTAAATAAAATGAAGAAAAGACTTATCGTATATAAAATCAAGAAAAGACATCGTAAATAAATCACGAAAAAAACTTATCGTAAATAAATCACGAAAAAAACTTATCGAAAATAAAATCAAGAAAAGACTTATCGAAAATAAAATCAAGAAAAGATTTATCGTATATAAAATCAAGAAAAGACATCGTAAATAAAATCAAGAGAAGAATTATCGGAAATAAATCACTGAAATATTTCATGTTAATGCACAAAACTACTAATTAATAACAAAAAACAATATGATAAGTGTGGAGGAGTGATATGACAGAGATTGTAGTTAAAATGTCGATGCGATTCGTTAATAATGATAACAACAACAACACTAATAATAATGTTCTGAGACGCCATTTCGGGAGGTAGGCGATCATGGCTCTCCACAGTTTATTTCACATTATTATCTGAAAATTGCTATGATGTCTTGGAAAAAATAGATTAGTATTTCCCCGGTGTCTTCTACACGTTTTTGAATTCAGAAACGCACTTCTCCTTGACTACCTAATGTTCAAAGCTATAAAACACAGTCTACTTTGCGGTTTTGTTGATATCCGGTTGTGGAGAGAGCGCAAAGGTATTTATATTTATATGAGATTCTTCATATCATGAAAAGAAACTAAAAAACCGAGCGGGAATTTGAACTCTGCTCGCCGATTATATTTTAATTCCCATATCCGTAACGTGATCGGCACATCAAATAATAATAATAATAATAATAATAATAATAATGATAATAATATTAAAAAATGGTCCGGTGTTCCTGCTATATATTAAGAGATACTTGATAAAATCTAAAGATGAATCCGCAATATCGTTGGTCCTTACCTGGCATCTTGGCTCCAGTCTCTTTCTGTAAATACATCAATTTTCGGTAATTGTTCAGATGAACTTTCCGCTATGGTACCTAGACTTTATGAATTTAAGCGAAGTACTATGGCGGGGACTAAGTTTCATCAATTTACAGTCGAATTGGCTGAATGCAACCCTGAGTTCTATGCTAAAAGTTTATTTTCTAACACTTCTCGTTCGTGGAACTTCTTTCCGATTCTATGCTTTCCAGCCAACTTTGAGCCTTAATTCTTATCTTCTGTATTCTTGATTCCTCTCCCTTTTCTATTCTCGATCCTTAATAATGTTTCCCATTTTTCTTATTTTTCACACTTGGGAACTTCTTATGTCTTAGTGGCTTTACTGACTTGACTGGCGGTGAAATTATTAGAAATAGATGTAAAACAAAAGCAAATATGGCGCTGAGAGCGATCGTAGTATAGAATGATGATTTATAGGTACAAATTGATCTCCTGTGATTGATATAAGTTCCATAGCTTAGTGATTAAAGCTGTTGGATCGTGGACTTAAAAGGAACCCACTTTTTAATCACACCGATTTTTTTAAAAATTTAAAATCAGCACGGTTTCTCGTTCCCATAAATTCATTCACTCTCCCAACTCTTTCTCTTTAAATGAGCCACTATCATCATCAAACCTCTTCTACTTCATTTATTTTCAGACGCACTTTCTTTCAACCCTCTCTCTGGCAGTGTTAAGAATTCACCGAACCCATACCCTGCAAAGACACATATAGCATCACTAAAAACAAACAAAAAAAACAAAACAAAAAAAAACAGTCACATTGCTACTAAGTGTCTTGTATATAAAACCGATCAGTGTTTACTGTTTTACTCTAGTACTCTCGGAAAAATACCTACATTTTGACTCAAGTGAAACGTGGACTTTTAACGCAAATATGGACACAAATACCAAACGAATCTAAGCGTTTTCGTACAAGTGCAAAGTAGATGAATATCCGCATTTTGACTCAAGTGGAAAGTGAACCAATATGTACATTTTGAGTCAAGTGTGAAATGGACCATTAACTACAGTTTAAGTCAAGTGCAAATCGAACTAAAATCGCACATTTTGTCATAAGGGCAAAACAGCTAAAATATATGTTTTATTAATGTGCAAAACGGATTAATATCTACTTTTTGATCCAAAGGAAAAATAAAACAATATGTACATATAGACTCAAATGTAAAATGGACCAGTGTCTGCATTTTATCTTAAGTGTAAAATGGATCAGTATATAGATTCTTATCTATCTATCTATCTATCTATCTATCTATCTATCTATCTATCTATCTAAACTATACAACAGTTAA